TAGCACCTGAAAGGAGAACTCCCACCTGTCATTCCCACAAAGTGCAGGTTTATGACTGGGAAGCTCTGGGGGTAAGTCCCACACCAACAGCTTCCTTCACAAACAGTATCAACATATCCCAAAGAGCACCATATTAGTGACAAGACAACCAATGTATTGAGAGGATCTTTAAGGGAAAAGGTGGGAGAACTGGAAAAGAAATCTACCATCTTAAAAAAAGCAGCAAGTTAAGATATGTTTGCCAAGGACCACAACTACAAGTTTGGGTCAAATTTATTGTGGAGAATGGTCTGCTAAATGTAATGAACCGGCAAGCATGAGATTTGAGTTCAGTTTCTGTCCTGACACAGAAATTCTTGGGCCCAATCAACTCCCTTTTGCCTTGGTTCCTTCTCTGGAAAACAGAAAGAAGGATCTTTCCTTGTCTTCCGCCCTTCATGTACTGCAAGAAATACAATTTCTGCCCCAAGGAGCTTACAGAGCAGACCATCCCTCCAGCACCTTCCACAATCAGTCACATAACTCAGCTGCTGGCTAGTCATTTCCTAACGCAATTCTCTTATTTGTATAGTAGCACACAAACAATAAGCCAATAAGCATAACATTAATGAAACCACTGCAGTACTGCCTAAATTGCTTCTGCATGTTACTTTTTGAATCTTGAATTGATCTAGTAGAATATAAGGTATATGTTTTGTTTTTATGTATTCCTATGCCCTCAATCATACCCTAAAATGGAAACAAAAACAGGAAGAACACAGTGGACTCAATTCCTGCCCACTTTTAGCGTTCATATGATCTAAGCACTGAATATTCGGGTATATATTGAATAAACGAATTAGTTCGGGCTGAGACGTGCATATTTATTTTCATATGCTTTTGTTAGTTATTCCTGTTAAACAGACGTGAAATTGCAATGTCTGAAGTTATATATATGATTTTCCATAACTACGGTACCTCCATAGATAACAGGATTCTATTCAATACTCTCCAAGGCCTTCCTCAACTCATAACTGTCCAGTGCCAGTACCTCCCACTGCAGTTTTAAATGGGCTCAAAAGAAATTTATATTTAATCATTAGCTATTATTAATACTAACAAATAGCATTTAGATTGCTTTGTAAAATTTATCTCAAAAGTATTGGAAGAGCACTGGGTCCGACTCCCCATAGTCCTTCACAGAGGTATTAATTTCAAAGTCGCAGTTAACCAGCTAAGATGATACAGGGCAGACAGAAAGACTGTGCAGTGCTGTGACCATAACCCCATAACATGGCTTGGAGCATATACAGCAGAGCAGATGGTGCTAATTAGAGGGCTGCAGCCCCATTAACTGCACTGCTAAGCCCACCTCTACAGTAAGAGGCTTCTAAATTCAAACGGCAGCATTTTATGCATATCTCACTTGAGCCTGAGCACCACCAAAAGGCACAAGACAGACATCAATCAGATCAAATGATGTGAGAGTCCTAAAAAGCATCTCTTACAAGGGAAGGTAATTACCTCCATCGTATAGTGAAACAGTGGAGCCATCTCCAAAGGCCATGGAGAAACAGTGTCAGGGCAGGTTGCAGGGCACCATAACATCCCTTCCTACTCTCATGAGAGGGACACGCTAATACAAAATTGTTGGGGGAAACAGCAGTGGCAGCAAATGAGGTTGCAGAGGTGATCCCTGCAAATATTCTGTCAAGACTTGCAAGTCTTTCGGCTTGCTAACACACTGGTAGCCACTGAAAGCATAGCTGTAAACACCATATAGTTAGGACAAATCCCTCTTGAAGATGAAATTGCCTCCTTCCCGGTGAGATTTTTTTTTTTTTTTTTAATACAATCATGGCTCACAAACCACCTGAACTACCTTCAGGCGCTTACCTGAACTACCATCTTAGCCATGTGGGATTTAAATTAAACCTTCCTCTCACTTAGTAGGCTAGCTGTGGTCCTCCCCATGGACCTCTTAAGGAGTGCCTGGTGAAAAGCCAGGTAACGCTTCACTCTGAGCACAAATCAGAAATTACATCCATGAAACTTTGGGACAGAATTGAATCTCTAAGGTCCTCCAGGTAAAAATTTCACAGTGATCCCCCGTACATTTTAAGTCAAACTAAACTATGCTCAAAATCTCAGAAAATTTGAGCCTGGATCCAGACTCTCAACCCACATTTCAGTTCCCAGTATCTGCACAACAAGGAAGTACAGGACTCTGCTTTACAGATCTCCAGGGGACTATATCAGGATCACTCAGAAGGCTAGAGGAGAAGCAAGGAAAGTGTCAGAGACAAAAAACTTAATAGTCACTGTGGAGGGTCTCAACCATGCAGATGTTTCAAACGTGTGCCTAATTTAAAAGCACTGAGTTTGATGGCAGTAGGCACCAAACCAAAACAGAGTTAAGGAGGAAAGGCCAACAGACAAAAAGAGAGAAGGAAACAGAGCATAAAAACCTTTCAAAAGAAAAAAAAGGGCACTATTAGTCTATGTAATCTACCTTAGACCAGCCTCAGCAAGCAAGCCGACTTCAAACCTGTTACATGTGGGCAATTTGATTGCTCAACAACAAAAATAGTTAGACATTTACAATCTCATTCTATTAATCTCTCCTACTTCTGATGATCACTATTGGGTACACATGTGTGCAAGTTTAACACAAAAATCTGTATTATGTTTGTATATTAACAAGGCTAAAAACTCACCTGCATGGCAGGTGTTGCTGTGGCCACATGCGTAGGTTATGGATTAACCAACTGCTATCAGAAAACTGGAGTCTGTCATCCAAACCTAAAGTAAGCACGGCAGGTGCTTTTCCTGCTCATCTAGCTGAGGGCTCTGCTTGAATTACATCAGGAAAGAATAGCTTTGCTTTTTCATGAAATCTGATTAGAGGGAGAGAGGTAATACCTTGCACAACATGGTGAAGTTTAAGGGACAATCTACTCTTCTCATGGCCCCGTCTGTTGGCTACTTTGATCTAAGTTTTATTATCTGGGTTTAACACCTTTACCTTTAATTTTGCAGAGGAGCTCTTTACAGCGGTTTTTCTACAGCATGCAATTGTTCAGGTCTTTTCAGAGAAATTACCAATTATCCAGGATGCTGGAAACTAAACACTTGTAGTTTTAGTGAAATATAAGATTATTCTCACTGGTATTTAACAGGCACAGGAAGCCACATAAAATACTTCAAGTTTTAGTTTTTAAGATCATTACTGAATTAAAAAAAAAAAAAGAAAGAAAAAAAAAAAAAGAAAAGCACTAGCAATAGCTCAGCACATTAAATTTGGAACCAATTCAATCCAAAATGCAGAAAGGAGACATAGCATAACAAAATAATGCAGGCTAGACTGGCTTTCCAGCTCACCCCTGTAGGACGCTCATTGTACAAGATCACTGTGACACTATCAGGCCAAGTTCAATGCTATAGTGTTTCGGTTTTTCCTATCATGCTCAAAACCAGAGTTCTTTTCTGAAGGCTAACAGAACCTAATCTGATTTTAGACAGAATGAGAAACAATAGTTTAAAATGTTAGGACTAGAAGGGATTTTTACACTTACCTAGCATGACAGGCTGTGTAACATAATCCTTACAATTTGACTCAGTAATTTCTGCATCCAGCCCAGCAACCTGTAGTTATATTAGAGATTGCATTTTACATTACAAAGACACACACACGCTCCTACTACAGTACTGAACTCTGTGTTAAAGATGTGCTCTATTTTCTATTTTGACGTCATCTTTCATTCTCTCAGATGATGATCCTTTTTTAGCTAGATCATGAAGGACAACCGGCCATTTGAATATAGTTTTCAAAATTCAATATGCTGTTGCAGGCACTCACCTGTTCTGAAAAATCAGATCCTTTACTTTTGTCTCACTTATCTCAGAAAAGAGAGTAAAAGCAATAGGAAGGAAGATTAGCCTAAACAAAGGCTTAAGCACTCTCAAAGTGAGTTTCAGGTCTGAAGGCAGTGAAAATAGGAGCTGTCAAATAACAATTGGTGTTTGGGAGGTTCATCCTGCATTGTTTCAGTATCAGGTACGCTAGCACACAAGTAACTGGAATTCTGTAGTTTACTTACATTTACTAGACTTCCAGCACATATGCTAGTCCCAGATACTCTCTATTAAATGTTTGTAAATCAGATGGCAAATCAGTAATAGTCCTCCTTTTTTGATAGGATAGGGAATAAGTAGAGTTGGAAGTTTAGAGGTTCCAAGATTTTTTTTTTTTTTTAAACCATTTTAAAACAAAGTAAACAAAGAAGTTATATTACGCATTCAAGAACAGGCAATACTAAGATTATAAAGCAATTAACATGGAAACATCAACATCTTATAAACATACACCTGAAGTTCACAGCTGTTGCAAAGAAAGAAGGCAATATTGTATTTCAGTGAAGGCAGCGAGCAGGGAGTCTGGGTTTGATTCTTAACTCTCCCACGGATTTCAAGCTTGGCTGTAGGCACATCACCAAATATCTCAGCTGTAAAATAAGGATAGTAATACTTTCCTGTCCCAGCAGGATGTCTTCAGGAAAGGACTTGGGAGGCACTCAAATAATGCAATGATGGGGACCATGAAAGTATCCATACAAAACAAAGACAACACCTGCTCTACTAGCTTAATGGAAAAAAAGATGACCGAGACTGTCATTTATAATGTCTAGCATTAAAGAAAAGAGCAAGCTGTGATCATCTTCATTATCTTAGCTTGAATTAACCTAAAAAAAAAAAATAAATTAACATCAGCAAGCCTTTTTTGTTATGATTACTGTGAAGACTTCAAAGTCTAGAACTGGACATGAAAATCAATACAAATGAACTACATAAATGGTTGGAACTGTAAGTCAAAACAGATGTTGCAATCTTCCCTCTTACTAAGTTACTGGGTAATTCATGAAAAAGCAGTTTGCTACATTTGTCAAAACAAATGCATATACATCCCGGGTAACTGCACACCATAGTTTTTCTTCTAGGATTAAAAGTATTAGAACAATTTCTTAGTCCACTAAGACACTTTTAGAACCCCACGTATACTTACTAAGCCTTGTGATTGCATTTTATACACAGTCTTGAAATTCTTCTCATATCCTTTATGGGAGATAATTATAGGTGGCCACTTCAGCAGTTTGCTGTACACATTGCTATGCACGTACTATTTAAGGAATGTCATCTCAGTCTTGAGGCTTTTCCATGAACATTTTCTCTCATTTTATGGCTGTGAAAATAGTAGCTCCCCAAATACAGAGAATGATTCTAGTACAAAAAGAAACATGAGGCTTATGATTAAGAAAGTCTGAGGACCTGGTGTCTACTCCTGGACTAGGAACAGATTTCCCATTACCTCAGCTCAGTCAATTAGATATCGATTTTATCTTTAAAACAGTAATGAAATCTCTGGAGGATGCAGGAAAGCCCAGTTCACAGTTCTGAAGCACATTAGCCTACACTTCTACAGATAGGCTAATGACAGTGAGGCAGCTTCAATCTCTAGAATCCCCTTTTCTCCTCCAACAGAATCCAAGTGCTCAGTTGAAAGGTTTCAGATCCTAAGTCACTCTAGATCCACTGAAACGTTATACCAATTTCAATCAACACAGTACCTAACAACGCAGCACTGCCTTTTGTGAGACTTTCTACCTGATTCATCCGAAGAATCACACAGGGCATCAGTCTGTTCATAATAACTTTTAAAATTCACTGGCCAAATTCCAACCAAGTTTGACCAAAGAACTAAAATCTCAAAGATATGAGACTCTTGCACATTTGCGACAACTGGTAACAAGGTAAAGCAAAGAGCCCAAATAAACGTTCTCATTAAACGGATCAGATAACTGTTGATCTTTCCCTTGGCTTGCTGGCTAGCCAATGAGCAAATGCATAAATTGAAAGGGCAGCACATTTTGCCTCTTGCCCAAAGAGGCAGGGGATGTAAGACATCAGATCAAAAGGAACCCAGCAGGGAGAACTGCATACACTGTGGAGAAATGGCCCAGTGACTCGGGGACGCTGGCTGGGTATTAGTAACATAACACATACAACTAAGTTTCGTTTTGCTGCTTGACTATGGGAAGCTGAGAAGAGCATATTTTTTGCTATCACTACTTGTTAAACACATGCACCCTGTAAACATTTGTAAGCCATTAGAAAGAACCAACAGCACATGCTATAACAACAAAAGCTAGATTTGTTACAGCCACGGGAATTCTTTCCAATGAAATCATTAAAAGGTAGGCGGGACAGGATCTAAGGGACCAGCTGATGCATCAGCCTGCAGAAGCAGCTTCACAAACATCCAGACAAAGCTGTAGCAGGTGACTGTCAAACCCCCTCTTAAAAGGCCCTCAGTGAAGGGGATCCTGCGACCCCTCAGATTCCAGTGCTTGCAGTCAGGAAGCGTCCTTCATATCTAACAAATCTTTCTGTGGAAAACTCATCTAGTTGTAACTTGTCCTATAATCGCCATATATGGAGTTTACAGAACTTAAGCAGATCACTCCTTTCAAAGAATCATCTATACAACTTGAATACTGATCAAAACTCTTTGTATTCCATAAGACTGAAGAAATCATTTCCTTCAAAATTCCTTCCAAGGCACACCTTCCAAGTCTCTTATGCCTTTTATTGCTCTCCTGTAACAAATGCCGGACCAAAACTGAAATGATGGGGCCTAAAGGGAAGTACTGTTACAAATTACAGCAAAGTAATTTTCTTTGAAGAAAAGAGAATTTCTTTTCTTTCTTTTGATCCTCTTTCAGATGCTGTTAGATCATTCAGATTGTAGTGTACTATAAACATTATAATATTTTCCCTCTAATACCACTTATCGCCCATTTTGTATTTCCACATTTGACGTCTAAGCTTTAATAGTCTACATTTATCTTTAATAAACTTTACATTAATAATTTCGGCAATTTCCTCTAATTTATCACGGTCGTTTTGAAATCAAGTAGCATCCTATAAAATGAACAGTTTAAAGTTGAAGAATAAACCAAGTCCTATCCCTCTCCCTGGCAAGTTATTTCTATACAGAGTTCACATAATGTCTCAATGTTCATAAGGACTGCAGATTAAGTCAAATCCACTTGATTTGTGGAAAACTCCAACAGGTTTTTATTTGAGGAAAAAAAAAATCTAATAAAGATTATTAAAACCCATATAAAAAGCAGACTTTCTTTTTTTTTTTTTTTAAATAAAAAGCCAAGACACAGACAGTCAGAATACTGCAATAATCTCATTTGACTAAAGGGATGGTAAGCAACAGCACAAGCAAAGGTAACACTATGCACAAGTGCTACTACTTGCAACATAGTGGCAGGTGAAAAAATAAAACTGCTAACAGACACAAGCTAAAGGATACCTTTGCCTCTCATTTCAGAGAGAATTGATCAATACCTTGCATCATTTTTCTCATTTTTTGCTATACTCTTTTGGCAGTTTAAAAAAAAAAAAAAAAAAAACAACCTTGGAGGGATGAAAAAGTAACATTCCCTAAACATGTCAAGAGACATACAAGAATACTGCAATACAGAGATGCTGAGAAAGCGTGCTTCAAGTACTTTACTTACATAATCCCTTAACACCCAAGAGAGCTCATTTCCTCCTTTGTCTGTAGTTTGTACACAGTGAAGTAGATTATATTCTGGCTGCCCTATTTGCAGCTCTGATCAGAATGATCTTTCTAAGTTTCTTTGTAGTTAAGTGTGCTTGTAAGGTACATTTCTTTCAGTAGAAATATTGAAATACAGTAACACTTCCATTGTCTCTTGTCTCTCCTCTCTGCCTCCACTACCGAACCTTTGAGTAATACACATTCAAAGCAGACCAGAAAAGAAAAAAGGTTAGAAAAATGTGAGCCTAGTTTCAGTAGGCAGGAACAAAACCTATGCTATATCCAGTTTTCTGGTGAATGCCCTAGCCATCAAAACTGTTTTGTGTCAAATACTGTCTCCTACAATGTGTAACTTGCGGAATTCATCAATACAGGATGTGGTGAAGACCAAGACAATGGGTAAAAAGAAGAGGAAGTAGGTAAGTTTCATCACAATAGGTCCACCATAAGCTATCAAATGTGCAGTCCAAATGAAGCTTCAATCTCAGGAACTTCCAAACTTGTTAATTGTCAGAAAATGCAAGAGGTACAAAGGGGAAAGATCATCTTATGTTTGCTTTGGCTCCTACAGGCTTCACCTAAGCACCTAAAACAGCCATTGTCAGAGACAGGATAGCAAACTTAAGAAGCCTTAATCTTGACCAGGAATGGGCTTTCTTCCATAAACACAAAAAACCCAATCTGCTAAACCAGAAGCGGTTTCAAAACAATGCCACAAACTGTTGCGTTATGTGTGAAACCCAATCCAGTTGATATGCTGTGAGTTGGTACGAATGCCCACTGCGTTGATACTTTGAGGAAAACCAGATGAAGGAATATCTAGTTTGCAGATACAGCAAGACCGAAATGCAAATGGTGCAAAAGCTGCCCAGCATCCACAAGACTCAGTTGCAAAGAATTTTCATCTTGAAAATTAAATATATCAAGTACCTACACATGATCCGAGGTGCCTCTAGAAATGGATAAAAACTGAGCTGTACATTTTAAGATCTGTATTTTGAAACTAGGCAGTTATGCCTCACCTGCATGTAACCTCTTTTGTGAGCCTCCAGCTAGTAAAGATAACAGGAGCATGGATACTGAGCACAAGAGAAATCAGTACCTGGGCGAAGGAAACAAAAATACACCACAAGAATCTTTTCAACTCAATGATTTCAGTATTTTAGGAAGGAATTTTTTTTAAAAAGAAATTACATAAATCTCAAACTTTATGCAGTTACATACATTCATTTTCATGATTTATACAATTATTGCATAAGACTTGTATCATGTGGTCATTTATATCTTACAGTATAATTAACACTAGATACTGCATTTTTTGCATCAACTTCTAGTTACATTTTCAGTCTATTATACAAATGTGAAACATACAAGAACAAGACTAAAAGCATTCCCTTCATATTTGCCCAGATGCAAAGACCACATACTGGAGACATTTATGAGGTTTATGATAATGCCACACCAATTCATGTTGCTTTGGCAGATTGTAGTGGAATGTAATGGCCAAAGAAAAGGTTAAGAACTAAAAAAGGTGAAACCTGCAGGCAGATAGGAACGGGCCACTTCTGTTTAGCAAGGCAAATACAGCTACTTTTCCAAGAATTCACAAAGGCAGAAAAACAAAGCAAATAAGAAATTCTGAGCAAGAAGGTAAAATACAGTATTTAACCTCCATTACTAAACGCCAATAAACTAGTAGTATCAATTAAGTCATGCTAGGAGCAGAAACCATCCCGACAAAACTATACTGAAAGAAACAAACCAAAATCTAGGAAAACACTATGCTGATGCCTTTATCTACTTGCTAAGATGGGTGTTCTAAGTCCATGATCCCCAAAAATCGTAACACCACTGAAAGCAGTGCAAGTGAGTTACTAGGTGGATTATTGTGGAACAGATACAATAGAGTACACACATAACACAACATGGCTTAAGAAGCAAGAGCACAGAAATAAAGAGACATTGTTGGAAAGGCTCATAGCTCAATTCATTTCATGTTCTACGCATATGCAAATTCCTTCACTTGTATTTTGTTCTATAGCACAAGAAGAATAAGCAGTAAGTAAAGGAACAGACAAGAATCACCACATAACTTCTAAACAACAGTAAGGCAACAATGCAGAAATATGCTGCTGAGCTCAAATGGAGAATTTCCTCTCTTTAAAGCAGGAAAGAAAGAAAAGATGGATGAGCAACTGGAAAAGTAAACGGGGTGACTGCCTGGTATGCTTTCCAAAAAGATTTTTATCTAAACAGATCGAATAACTTATAAATAGAAGCAATTCAAGTCCATTCACACACACCCCAAGCCATTGTCAATGTAGATGTGGCCCAAATAAAGTCTATTTTAGTTGCAAGTGCCTCAAGTAATGATAATCACAACCACAAAAGGTAATTTCATTTTTTGCATAAAAATAATAGTTGGGATTAATTCTACTCTTCATAGTGAGTTTCTCATTATGTGACAAAGACCCAAACAGAAACACCTTTTCTGGTGGAATACTCAGAGATAAATGGAAAGCATGCAGTTATAACTTACTGTTAATTCTCGACTCTAGATTTGCTGTCAGTTATCTACCTGGCTAATAATAGCCAGGTCACCAAATTTAGTAGTATACATACAGCATGTGACCATAAAGCCATAAAAGAACATGATCTTGAAACACCGGTTAAGCACTTTCAAGTCCCCATGGACTCAAATGAAAATCTGAGCTGCTAAGCACTTGATTACCCGTTCAACCTTTCCCCCCACCACCTTTAAGAAGGTGGCTCTCAGTGATCATGACGCTACGTTCTGGCCAAAATTCACTGCCTTCAGCTTCTTCATGGAATACAGTACAGTGAATAACAGGATGTGGAAGAAAGCAAAAGGAAGAGTTCACTAAAAGACAATATGAGAATATTTAGTCTGAAGCAGAGTTCAATTTTACCACATTGAAAACCATGAGTATAATCATTTCATTCAAACTTAGAGCTGTTCTCAAAGTTATCAGCGTGATGCAACCAGCAAGAACCCTAGATCAGAGAGAGAGAGAGAGAGAGAGAGAGAGAGAGAGAGAGGGTGCCAGACAGACACTCCTTGTTAAGTTCAACAATGAGTTGAAGCTAATTGTGCTCCCAAGTGATTAACTTCTGAAAATTTAGTAAGTAAAATATGCTGGCGCCATTTTTTTTAATAAAAATAGTGTTTCAACTGTCATTACAACAAAAAGGGTTAAGGATCTTGTTCTAGTCCTGCCTAATCCATTCATGAATTGCAAGGCACAGTCCTTGGCACACTCCCCTATCACAAGAGGCAGTTCCATTTTCTTGTGCTGCAAAAAGTAGCAGGCTTAGTGGTTACAAAGTTCATGTTTTAAAGTGCACTGTCATTTTAACACTTTCCCTTCTTAAAAAACAAAAATAAAAATATTCTGGTACCAATAGTTTATAAAAATAGCAGCTGCAATATTGCTGTAAAATTGCAACTTAAAATCAAGTCAAATAAGTAGGATTCAAATACCCTTTTTTTCCTCCAGAAAAAAAAAATATATAAGCCAATAATAAAAAACTCCTCCTGCAGAGAATTGCCAACCAAAACTTTACACATTGTCCTGCAAACCCTTACTACAGCATGTCACAGAAAATCCATTCAGTTTCTTCCAGCTGACCACCTCAACAAAATAGAGGTCTAAATAAATCAGTCCTTCCCACCAATCAGTCACCTACATAAATGCAGGTGTGGATGCTGATGTAGTCTTTCCATGAGCTCTTCCTCTGTAGGTTCTTCCAAAACATCTCTACAAAGAAAAAGTATGAATTGTTAGGGACAGCATAAGGAACTTCTCTGTTTTTTGGGGGGGTTCTTTGTTTGTTTTAAGGGGTTTTTTTGCAACACACATACTGAGATGTAACATGTGCTCTTTTCAAGACTGAAACAAGGAATTAAAATCACAATAAGCTGACGCTCCCTAAAGATGCACTTGCAAGTGATCTATCCTTTTACAGATGTGTCATGGAAACCAGCAGCTGTTTTCCCACAAGGAGCGAGGAAGCAATTTCCTGCACACAGTACAGTACAACTGGAGGTCAATGGATTTGTTTTCCTGAAAAAACTGCTTAAATGAGAACATGTTCCCAATACCACTGCTGAATATCCAGTCTGCACCAGAAGTTCTGCTTGTGAATGATGATCAAGCATCAACTCACCACCCACAACTTCATAATAAACCAAGAATACACATTACTTTTTTCATCTTCCCTTTTCTTCTCAGTGCCCTTCCCCTCTAACACCTCTTCTCTCAACAGGACACAGGCAGAAAGTTTATAAAAGTTAGGCTATCAAGCCAGCAAAGTGCAGGCCTAACCAAAGCACTTACTGAGCTTTTCCAGGCTAACAGATGAAATGCAGGTATGGAATAAGAGTCAAGCCTTTTACCCTCTTGCAGCCAGCACGCTATCTTTAAAGGAGAGCTAAACATCATCTGGAAAATTAGATCAATTATCAAACCCAGTGTAACTCACCTGAACATTAGTTCAACCGTCCTCTGGTATTCAATGTCTGAGAGAGGTTCCCGATGACAGCGACGGTCCCACTTGTGAATAAAGTTCTGGAACGTAAAAAAGAGCAGAAAAAAAGTTAAGGTCTATTTCTAATGGCATCATAAAAGAGTTTGGTCTGAGGTCGTGAGGTCTACATATTTAAGTCTTGGGGGTGGGGGCTGTTACAGGGAATGGCAGAGTAGAGAGCAGGAATCCATTGAAATTTAAACGCTGACAGAGTTCATAGACATCTGATAGATATGCGCAGCAAAAGTCATATACATAACACAGGCTGTACATGCGAGCAGAACACAGCCACAAACCAACTGGTAGATGTGTTACTTTTTACTGTTTCATGGTAAATTGTATTTGTGCACTCTTAAAGAGAACAGTGATTTATTTAGGCATAGGTATATTTATTGGCTGTACTTCACTAGTTTTTCAAGTCTGTCATACAGGAATGAAATAATTTTCTCATCACACACTGAAAGAACAGCACAGTCCTGCAGTCTTCTAACTACTCACAGTAAGAGCTGTCTCCTCACAGAAACTGTATGAAGCAGTCATAAGAGTTCACTTGCTTTGAATTTTTTCCCTCTTTAGAAAAAAAGAAAGCCAAAAAAGCCACAATATAAATACTCCTAGTCCAGGCATCACAACTTAGACTCAATTTCTGGTTTTCTCATTCTCCCTGGTCTGTTTTGAATTACAATGACAAATCAAGACCTACTGAGTAGACAAATAGCTCGGGGGGGGGGGGGGGGGGGGTGACCTTTTCCACTGCTTCTCCAAAT